AGGTGAGGAACCCCCGCCAATGGTGTCATACATTTTCAGCTTGTTCAGCTTGTTTTGTTACCATTTGAAAGGCGATCCCGTCTCACAGGAGATTTTAAATACTGACACTATAGAAAATTATAAAAGTTGTTTTTCATAATTGGATATATATATATTATATACTGTACATCCATGTGGTATACTATTTTTCTTGACTTATAAAGGATCCTCACTGAATCCCATGTTTACATTTTAAAAGGCATTTGCTTGATCTTGACTTGTTTGTCCTGGCATAATCCACCAACAATGATGTATCATGGGTATAATACATCATTGCACACCTAAGACCTTCAATACCTGCCAGTATATTCAGTGGTCCATCCCAGCAAAAACTCTGATTTCTAAGGAAATGATTGTCAGCAAAAAGACAATAGCAGCATTAGTTTACAAACGACATCCTTCAAAATCCCTGTCAGAACCCAAACCCTGAGTCACGCATGGATGATCTTCTTTGACTGTACTTGTTATGCTAGCTTGTCACCAGAAGAAATGATCCAAAAGGAAGACAATTGTAATAGAAAAATGATACAGCAGAAACAACATGCTAAAGTTGCTTTCATAAATCATGTGAGCACCATGTAGCAAATTATAACCACACATTAAATGCCAGACCATACACATCTCAGCCACAAATATGTTCCAACATTCCTGGCCCCAAAATCTCCTCAAAACTGTGAGGTTTCCATAGACACAAGGAATATCTGGAAAATATGGTTTCTTATTTGTCTGGAGCAGAAACGCTTGGATATCTCTGGGGACAAGATTGTGTCAGAAATTGCTAGACATTATATTACTGTACATTAATAGTTTAATAGCACCAGCCACTGGCATGCTGCTGAAGTAATTGAGAGAAAAACAGCTTCTGGCATTATTGAGACCATTTGTTCAGTGGAATCTACAGGCAAGGTTTAGTCATACACTCCTAAAATACTTAATTGAGTGGTTACACTTTGAATGGTTAGTAATGGAAAGTACAATAAGGTTTATAGAAAACACAACATATAACAAGTAAAAATACAATACAGATGTCTCAAGTTCAGCCAGGGCTTTCTTAAAAGAGAATCATTCTTATTTTTATTGCCCCAAAGCATTAGTAGCCATTTATATGTTGTTCTTCTGGACACTTATCTAACTTAAAAAAACAATCAACATAGCGTGTTGGAATTAACTCCTGTGAAGGACTCACCCACATGTATACAGTTCTTAAGTTCAATGACAAATTTGGAGGTTAAAGTACATCTAAACCCAAGAACAACATTTTTAGTTATTGCAGCTAATCAGTCTTTAGATGTGGAGACTGCACTAGTTTTCTTTTTTTTTCAGGCTATTTTCCTTTCCTTTATTTTCAACTCCTAATCCAGCCAGTAACAGATTTCCTGTCCTAGGGTGCAAAGCTAATTCACTGTACTGTATCTATAGAAGAGCAGTATTGTCACCCTAGAAAGGACTACAAAACACCCCCCTCTCCATGTTACAGTGGAAGGCATTTTGTAGCCAACATAGATAGCTGAGAACAATACGAATGATAACAGGGTATTACAGGCAGAGAGCACAGGAACTTAACAGCTTACAATATTTCTGGCAGGATTAATAGGTATTTTTTGCACATATCGAACAGATATAAGACACCAATAAATATATAATATGAAGTACTAAAACAAGCAAACCCTGAAGGCACCAGAAATACCAAAAAAGTGGTAAAACAACAAACAAATTCCCACCTGGAATAATAATAAGGAGAATACAGTGCTCTTAGACCAGTTGGGAGTCTAGAAGCAAGGTGAGCAACATTCCATCTGTGTTCAGAGGTTTGCTTCAGTCTACTGGTGGATTTAGCAGTATATTAATCAGAAGGATCGGTTTATTCTTTTTGATTTCTGCTTTATATTAACTATATGAACTACATTTTCCATTGTTAAGCATGTACATTTAGTAATATTTTACGTCTCTCCCTTCCTTCATCATTTTCACTATGCAGAGTTTTATATATGGAATAATATTTTTGTGGATGGATGTTTTTTGAGTAAAAGTATAGGTTTTATAATTTGTATTTAGTAGCAAAGCACATTTGTTTCTTTATAGATATAAGAAAACACTTTCAATAGAATATACGAAGGTGAGTCAAAAATTATACATTGTAGAGTTTCTTTTAATCCACTTTTAGAAAAGACAAATACATAATTTTTTTGACATAATCTCCTTGCTTTTCAATACACTTTGTCCATCTGTCAACAAGCTTTTGTATTCCCACATTAAAAAATGTTTTAGGCTGTGCTGCAAACCATGAATGCACCGTGGTCTTCACTTCACTTCTTCATCAGAGGTGAATCTTCGTCCTCGAAGCTGCTTTCAGGGGACCAAACAGGTTAAAGTACGATGGAGCAAGATCAGGACTATGAGGAGGAAGCCTTGACACCTCAAAACAAAGTTTTTGCAGAGTGCCAACAGTGTGGGTAGAGGTGTCTAGGTTTCAGGCTCGAATTGATGAATCCATGCCTTGTCACCAGTAATGATTCTCTTGAAGAAACTTTCACCTTCCTTAGATTATCGGTCCAAAATTTTGTTTGCAGATGCCCAAACGCTTCTGTTTATGCTCTTCCGTGGGTCACTGCACACTGCTCTTCTTTCGTGAAAATCACAAGTGGGGCATCTATTTTTTCTCGCACCGAAGGTACAAATGAACTGATGTAACACGTTCACACCTTTACAGCAGTGACTGGGGAGACGTAGCCTTGAACGGAAAGCGCTGATAAGACAGTGCGGTGAACAGTTTTAATATAACTTAAGTGCGGATAATTTTTGACTCGCCCTCAAATGTAAAAGTTAAAAAGAGTACAACTAAGAGAAATTCATTGTTAGGGTTTACATACACTTCAAACCTCTCTTCTCTCAGTTACAAGGAGCATCCTAATGTCCTTTTGTTAACCTTAAGCTAGCCATATAGGGCTTGAATTTTGGAAGATTCCTATTGAATCCGAACCATGGGTGGCCCAGTTGGGACCAGTTGATTTAAAAATGGATAAAATAAAAATAAATTTAAAGAAAGTCAATTAAAAAAATCAACTGATCTAGGTTGAAAATTCTGGGACAAACAGTGAATATCATATCAGATGCAGTTGCTGTTGGGGTATTTAAGCAGCGTGGGTACTGCGTCTGTCTGAACACAATGGCTAGCAGGGGAGATTCCTTCATTCATTCTGTTTAGTGAATTATGAATCTAGTGATTGAGAGAAAATGAAGTGTGTATGGCTATACATAACATGAAGACTTTCTACTGAATTTTCTATATTAATAAAAAACACAAAACTATTGGGATTATTTGACAGAGCAAGGAGCAACATTATTATTATTATACAGGATTTATATAGCGCCAACAGTTTGTGCAGTGCTTTACAATATAGGGAAGACATTACAATCACTATACAAATCAAGACAAGATGGTAAGGAGGACCCTGCCCCTGAGGGCTTACAATCTAAAAGCGAGGGGGAAGTGATACATGAGGAGGGAGCTGTGTGGGGATGAATTGTTTGAGAACGTGATGGTGATCTCTAGTAATCAATTGGCAATTGGCAGATATCTTTATCTAGTCCAGCTGCTCTAAATTAAATAAAGGTAAACACTGGTTGCTATACTCTCCCCATCTTTGTCTTCATTATATTTGACATTATCCACTCTCTCTTATTGTCTCCATAAAATAAATCCACATTTTGTTTTTCACAAATTTGTTTACTAGATAAATGTTGTTTCAGAATGTCTGTAGCATATGTTTAGGAAAGCATTAATAAATACTGGAAATGTATATCTTAGTCACTGAATGTTGGAATCAGAGTATGCATGTACATCTTACATTTTCTAACATTAAATAGGTGTTTTAAATGTACAATAAATGTGCCATTGCTGACCTTTTCTTCTGAAATACAATTTTTTTGGCTGCCATACTAAACCACTACCTTTATTGACCTGGAACAAGTATATGGGTCAGCAGTTCTGGCTGCACTTTGACTTTGCTTGCTGAGAGGCGGGCAACTAGGTGCAATTGCAACCTGCATATGTGCTGAAAACTGTCTGCATGCTAGCAGGTAAAGATCAGGAAGTCAGAGAAAACCAGTTTACTGGCACCCAGAGGATTTTGCAGCATGAGAGAATAATAATTAAAAAAAAAAGTTTAACACGTGTAAGCAAACATTTGTATATACAGTTACCAAAAAGAAGAAGAATGCTACCTGGAGCTTAGAAGACATTAGTTTTGTGTTGCATCATGTTATAGTGCCCTTAGAGAAGAGACTAGATGTTTTTTGCCTGATTGTGGCAGCCAAGTTTATAGTACATACACACAGCCCTGGTTGACTGTTCTGCTGCAAATATAACTGACCAGGTAGGTTGAAAAGCCTTGTCCAATTCATTTTGTTCCCCCATAGATAATATAGCATTGGTCTTTGTGTCTATACTTTCCCTGTGTCTTTCCAACTGCGCTCCTAAGCACATTATCGTTAGTACACTTGCATACCTCCCAACTTTCTGAGAAAGAGAGACACTTTCCAGCATAATGTATTCAGGCAATATACACACCCCTGCCACACACCCCTTTTGTGGGTCATTAAAAATGTATATGCCAAAAATGATTGGTTAAGTCCAGAATTTTTTTTTCCACCATTACCTTTCCCCTCCCCGTACACGCACACCCTTGTGAGTATCACAGTGACTGTGTGTATTTGAGTGGAGTATACCTCAAAGAGGAAACATAAGAAAATACATGTACACATAAGAAAATATAAAATAAAAAAGTATTTCTGTAGGATATGTATATATAAGTATGCTCGAAGTTGTACAAGTTACCAACCCAGGCTACAAAATGCTACCTGGTCTTCTTTGTACCAGATATTCATTGCCTATAGCAAATACAAAATAGATTTATGATGATTAGATACCCTATACAACAGATTATGTATTCAGGATTTACCTGGCTGGCATACAGGAAGTGTGGTTCCAATTTCTGAGTTCATCCACTCTCCATTTTCTTTACAGAAATAAACAGCTGCAATGAATAAAAATAATTCGATTGATATTCCAATTTACAGAAAACCTATTAATACTATAATTTATAAAAAATAACAGTGTTTTAAATGGTCGAACATGACACAACTGTTTGCTCACAGACTGAACTTTCAGATATGACTGCATACATGGGCAGCAGGGATAAGCAGATTTTTATCCATTGTTAGAGGGTTTTTGATGTATTTAGGGTAGTTTCATTTATTTAATTGGGTGTACATTGCATTGTGTTTTTTCCTCTACAGTTTGAGTCATTTATATACTGCTACATTACATTTTATTAAACATTTTTCACTGTTTGTTTATTTCCTTCTGTGAAAAAATTAAATTATGAGGGTACTGAGGGTCTGATTTTTCAGCACAAAAACAGGTCCAGGATAGTTAAAAGGATCTTCTCAAACTCTCCATTGAAACCCCATTACACCCTTAAATACAACCAAAACTCTTCTAATTTCACCTTCATCATTGACTCTCAATTTTGGCCAAAATTATGTTTATATAACCCACTGATGGGTATGTTACCAGCCACTATTAATGGGCTAAAGATGAAGTACACTTAAACTTTTGTTACCCTAGTCTCTAATCTATGTTCTATTTTTTGCAAGTCTGGGACATCCTAATTTTCCTTTGCATCAATCCCTCTCTGGCTGCTTTCAATGTGCTCTTGAATACAATCTTATATCAGTGCGTTACTATTTTGTATACTTATAACTGTTGTAGTAATGCTAATTACATTTGTTTAGTGCATCTGTACTACTTGTCTATCACCAATACTCTAGGAATAAAAAAGTAGTCTCTCACCTGTAATATTTGGTGTCATTATGTAGTAAGGTTCTCTGCAGAAATATGTAATACTTGATTGGTATATGGTAGTATTTGCTGGTGTAGAGAAGGTCATAAATCCATTTTCAAGTTCTTTTGGCAACTTGCAGTCAACAACTAGAAAAGGGAAACAATCTCGGCGTTAGGTGATTGTGACCATTTCATTGTTGCTTTAAGTGCAGTTAAAACATGTAAGATATTATTCCTTGTAGAACGCTTCTTACCTGGCCAGTCCATTGGAATTTTTTATAATAGGACAATATTTCAGCTCATTAAAGTCACAGCTGGTGCAATAATTAGCCTCTAATGGAATATCCAGTAGTAAATTAATCACTGTTCCAACAGCAACATTATTACTTGCATTTACTGACAGCTCAATTTCTGCATCACTACCATACAACAAAGTTATTCATGCAAGCAAGAAACACTTTTTTCTCCTGGATTAATAGATCTTGTGCAAGTTCAGATCGGTTCTTATTTATTCAGCATTATAAACTATGCCTGCTATCTTTGCCTACTATTTTATAAGCCCATTCAATAAGAGATATTTTTGTATTCATGTAAAATTGCAATATTCTTACCTGGTGATGAGAGGGGGGACCTAAATATAGTGATCCTAATAGTTGTTGCAGCCACAGGAATAGAGATGCATTAAGGCAGAATTTGGCCCTTGGTACATTAGCAGATTTGCCCCCCATTCCTTTAACTGACATTGAAAAGGATTGCAATAGACACAGAGAAGCTGCCTCATTTGCATTCTTGTACTGCCATGACCCCTGCCATCAGACATCAAGTGCATCCTCCCTTGTGATGGTACACAGCTTTGACCAATTACACTATCCCCCTGGTTTACTGCAGGAGCATTACGTTTTTAGCTTGTCCTTTAGACATCAGCTGCACCCTGTCTAGGTACCCTAGTGGATGATTCAGCTCTGCATAGGACAACCACATTCCAATAAAACATAGGATATCTCACAACCTTTGTATACTGTATTTTACTAAATCCAGCTAGTGGTTTGAAGATGAACAAAGTTGTAATATAGTGAATGCTTGTGTGCTTTGATCCATTCAGCTAAATAAACTTTTCTACATCTAATGTCAGCATGTACTCTAAGAATCCTTTTTTCATACACTTCAAACGTTTTCCACTTTTTATTGAAATGTATGCAGTTTAATGTCTCAATGTACGCTGAAAATAAAGCTTAGAACAAATAAACAATTGGACATCCAAAATAAATCATGGAATAATTTTCTTTAACAAAATGTATCCTAATCAAAGTAGCCACCTTTTGCAAATATAACAGCCGAACACACTCATCTTTCTACAAAGGATAACAAATATTGTTCAGAAAGTTTTCCCAACACTGTTGCAGAAGTTCCTACAAATGTGTTGTAGGTTGCTTTGCTCTCACCATTCTCTCCAGTTCATCTCAAACCAGCTCAATAGGGTTTAAGTCTGGACACTGTGCTGGTCATTCCCTGATTTGAAGCCTACTGTCTTGTTCTTTTCTTCTAAGGTAGTTCTGATCTAGCCTGGAGGTATGTTTTGGGTCATTATCTTGCTGTAGGATGAACTACTGACCAACTAGGCGTACACTAGAGGATATTGCATGGTGTTGCAAAATGCTGTGGTAGTAGTTTTGTTTCAGGGTGCCACTCATTCTGTGCAAGTGGCCGACTCTGGATCCAGCAAAAGTGCCCCAGACCATCACGCTTCCTGCTCCGTGTTTGACAGTTGGGGGTTGATTTATTAACCTTATAAACACACCACGAACATGTATACACCTCTGTAGTGTGTTCCCTCCCAGCATGATCTATGGGTGGAATCTAAACACCTTTGTAGTGTGTACACACCCAGCAGGTGTGTTGTGCAAAGCCAAGCATGAATTTGCAAGGTGATGTTGTGTAAATTAGCTCTATGTTGTGTTGCTTGCTTTGATGAATGCAGGAATGTAAATGCATGAGCTAACCATTTTTGTCTAAACTGTGAAGCAGCATTATATATGCATCATGTGCATGATTTTTCCATATATGGCATGAGTGGAAATATGCTTTTAGAGACTTTTTGGTTGATAAATACGTTTTGCTGTGTAAAAATCACACGCACCTAGTGCGTGCGTGTGTTTAGGTTAGTAAATCACCCCCTTGGTCTCACACACCAAGGAACCATCCTTTTGCCTACTGGATGGTGTACGAAAAACCTGCGTAATGAACCAAAGATCTCAAAGTTTGATTAATCGGTCTATAAGACCTTCTTCCAGTCTTCAGTAGTCCGCTGGCAGTGCTTCATGGGCCAGGCAAACCTTTTTTTTATTTTGCCATCTTAGCAATGGCTTTCTTACTGCCACTCGACCTGTCTGATGTCTTCTCTTAACAGTTGAAACTGAGACTTGGTTCCTTCAATCAGTGTTAAGCTGTGCTTAAAGCTGTTGTTCTGTGAGCCGCCTGTCATGCAAGCTGTTGACGCTAAGAAACTTGTCTTCTGATTCTGTTATGGCTTTGGGTCTGCCTGACCTCTTCCTGTCAGAGTTTCCTCCAGTTTCCATGTGCCTTTTGATGGTGTAGGAAACTATACTCACCGACACCTTGGCTTTCTTTGCAATTTCTCTAAAGAGAAGACCTAGATGTTTAAGGGTTATAAAGGTCTGTCTGTCTTCCTTCGTTAATTACCTTTTTCTCACCATATTGAGACCAATTTTCTACTTCCTGCAGTACAATACTGTCCAAATAATGCTTAAGAGGTTGTAGTAACACAGTCTGTTCCAACTCTGCTTTTATACAGACAGAGGGCTTGTGAGTAATCACAACCTGTAGGAATTGTTAGAATAAACGTTCAAGGCTTAATTTACTTAGATTGCTGCAAAAAAACTGTGAGTTGTTAACCCATTACTTCTTCTATGAAAAAGTCCTTTCTATATAACTCTGAAATGTAAAAATTTGAAATATTGAGCTGTTCTAAAACGTTTGACCAGTAGTGTACCTGTGAGTAGAGATCCTGAAAAAAAACATACACTGATAGTATGGAGCTGACTTACTAAAAGAGTTAAGAATATTCACTACAAAATGTGTAAATATTCGCTTTAATTTTCTAATAATTTAAACAGCATTTGCACAAAATTGGGCATTCAAAGTGAACAGGAATTACCTTTTCACAAAATTGGATATCTGAAGTAAATATTCACCCTTTTTTAGTGAAGATTTCTAATCTCCTCTCACAAATCAGCCTCATGGTCTCTTTTGAACATCTGAAATTCAGAAAACGCATCCAAACTCTGCTGTCTGCTAAATCAGGTACTTTGTCTGTCAGGAACTGTATACTTATAAGGTAATGCTAATTTACAAAAAGTTGTCCTTTGTAAAGACTAACAGATTTCACAGATTAAAATACTTCTTTCAATACATGCTCTTCAAATGTTTAATTGATACAGTTAATAACTTAAGAGAAACCTTGCACTTCTACATTTGTTTTTGACAAGGGTAGTAATTGCTGCATTTGATGCGCATGCCTCTGTAGCCATGCAGTTTCTATCCGGTGCTATGAAGTGCCTTGCCTATCTCCTTCACTTTCTACTTCTACTGCTTCTACAACTTCTACTAGTTAGAGACTGGTCCCCAAACCAAGGCAAAATAAAAGGTTTGCCCAGCTTCAACAGAAAATGTTGATCCCCTGCAATGGGCATGTAGTTATGAAGAACTCCTTTACATTATTTTTTTATTAAGGAGTATTTTCACTTTAACAGCCAAATTGGGATAACACCTATTTTATATATGTTATATGTTCCCATTGACATAGCATTAGTTAAAAAACAGTGCAGTTTGCAGTTTAAATTGCTTTTACTTGGGTTAGGTTTTCTTGGCTTTTTAAGGGTTAACATGTATACTTGCTTCTTCTTCTTTGTTAGGAGGGGTTGTGAGGGGTTTCATTGTATATTAATTAAGTTAATGAGAGAAACACAATCCTCAAATTTCAGTCCCCAGTATTTCTATAAGGACACTGTAAATGTGCTGAGAAAAAACAGTAATCGGCCATGTTGCCTACTGCAACAAAACATCTAATAGGTAAGACATATATTTAAAAAAATATGCTGTGTGAATAGGAACACACAACAAACATATAGCAGGGGTTTTCTCAAATTTGACAGCAAAAGTGGAAATCCACTTTAAGGATTTAAAGAGGTACAAATCTTGTACAGTAAGTAACGAGAAGTATCTCCAACACAAGAGATTAGTCGCAGCAAACTTATTGCAGAACATACAATTATGCATATTTAGCACTGTTGTGGCACTGGCCCCTTTAAGGCAAACCCGATGTTGCAAGTGACCGGGGTTTGTGCTAGAAGAGACTTGTGGGACATGAGTTCTTTGCCTAGGAAGATGTTAGCAGGATTTACTGTTCAGGAATACATATCCCAGAATGCTGTGAGTGAAGAGGGGAGTGCACTCTGGCTGCAGAAGGATGTCTAGTTTCATTCCCCAGGCAGAGGTTGTGAAGGCAGGGCGTGTGTAGCTGCTGTGAGTGAGAAGGCTCCTGTGCCTGCTTCCTGCGTCCCTGTTTGCCCTGCTAGTAGGCTGAGGGACGAGCGTTTCATGACAGCCTGCCAGTTGATCGAGTGAACCGATAGGAGGGACATCAAAGACCACTATGCAGTGATCTGGAACGGGGATTCAGTCGTGACGAGCAGACGCTGTGTTGGATGACCTAATCTTTTTCTACCTGTAGAGCCTGCTGATCTTTCCCTATCAAGTGAGCTGATGTGTGGGACATCCCTGATACGCATCTCCCACTTGGATTGGCGAGAGGCCTCTAGCCTATGTTTATTGATCACACTTAACACTAAGTTCATTGGCCCTATTGTTGGCTAACCAAAGTTTGGACCACTGTACAGTTGGTTAGGTACCCGGGTACATTGGGACTGAGACAAAGTTCTGTTCTAACATTTATTCTGTGTAAGGAGACTGTTGTCAGCACATCCATTGCTGATATATAGTCATCTGTATAGCTGATTCAAATCTATTGTCTGAACTGTTTGACACTATAAAATATTTTGCTGCATGCATGTGTATATTGTTACTGGATATTTTATGCAAGGTAAAACAGTTGAAACCAGTGGTTCTCA